ACTTCCTGTTTCACCGGAAATGACTACAACTTTTGATTTTTAAATAGCACCCTCGGTATTTTTTTACGTTATTCGATAGAAAATAACACTCTGAATAGAATGACATATCATATGTCAACTTTTTACATTTTTGCATATGGTTTATTTGAAATTATACTATACTTGCTGTTTGTAACGAAAATTTGACTCGAAATACCAAGTGTGTGGTATCAAATTATTCGTAAAAAATGCTTTTTTCAAATATGCTGGTAAGCTACCCTCGTTCCATTTGAAAAAATTGAGATATGATCAAAAATACGATTTGATAATTTTCTAACTGGCCAGGACGAGACACTAAAAACATTAGACGGTCCAATCTATTTTTCCAAGGCTCCTTGATTAAGAATTTGTGTTTTTAACATAGCTATGGAACTCTAGATTGAAATTTAAAATACGATTTTTTTTTTAAATACGATTTCAAAAGTTGACATATGATAATTCATTCTATTTAGAATGTCATTTTCTATCGAATAAAGTAAAAAAATACCTAGGGTGCCATTTAAAAATCAAAAGTTGTAGTCATTTCCGGTGAAACAGGAAGTGACCAAAAACACTTGAATACGTCAATCAATCCTAATTTATGTCATATACTAGCATACCAAATCTCGTTTTTTTTATCTGAAAAAATAAAAAAGTTATAGGGGGTGATATACACTTTTGAGACGCACCCGGTATAATAGAAACCATCCTTCCACTAAAAATTCGATACTCCAAAAAGACATCGAAACAAAAATGGGTTTCCCAAAAAAATCCCCCATTTTATTTTGCATTCAGAAACCTTTACTCCTGCAGCCTTCGAAACACGCCTAAAAAATCTATTTCGCCCACAATATTTCCCAGCGATGCATTTTTCATATTTCTTCGGGCGAGAAAAGTCTCTCTCGGCTTGCTCGCTGAAATATTCCGCTTTTTCGAATTTTCCACGGAAAATTGATATGCGTTATTACTTACGCGCACGTAAGGAAACGCGGAGAAATTTATTTCGGGCGACGAAAGAATACGGGAAAAGTTTCTTGGGCCGGAAGTCCGGTCTCGTCAACTGGAATAACCCCGAGAGTTTGCTGGTGGAGGTATTTAAAAGTTCTAAGGCTTTTTAAGATATTCTCTGATATAATTTATGTGTATATATATTATTTATAACATTAGGCGTATGTTACGACTGGTGTTATTATAAATCTGATATTCAGGGTGGTCGAACTGTATTTTGGAAACTTTGGCAGCATTTTCTGCAGATAAAAATAAGTAAAAAAAGTATGCTTAGTTTCGGAGATAGGGGTGTAAAAGTTTCATTTTATTTCGATTTTTTCCAAATAATTTCTGAACTAAAATAGATATTTGGATGAAAATTGGCGTCTGGGAGTTTTTTGACTTGAGAAATTTGATTTTGATGTCAATATGACTCCAATTTGTAGGGGGCGCCACCTACATGTTGTTTAACTGTTATGAAGAGCAATAACTTTTTGTCCGTACTTGTATAAAACTACTGAGTGAAAAAATATACATTTCCGTTGCTTTTTACGTAAAAAATGTTTATTGGTAAAAATGGCTACGAGCAACCGTTCTCAAGATATTTAGAATGAAAATAGTCAATACAAATGTCATTATTGACACAAAATAAACACGTTGAGTAGATAGTTATTTGACTGAAGTTTATTAAATTAAATTAATTATTAAAATATTTTTTTAAATTAATCATAATTTTTTCTGTGAAAAAAATATGATAAAGCAGTTTCTGTTGAACTTTTGGCACAAAAACATTTAAAATTTATGATATCAGTCTAATAACTATTTAGTCAACATGTTTAATTTGCGTCAATGATGATAGGTCTAGATAATTTCGATTCCAAATATCTCGAAAACCATTACCCCTAGCAATTTTTACCAAGAGACCTTTTTTACCTCAAAAACATCGTAAATGTGTAATATTTTTTTACCAGTAGTTTTATACAGGTACGGACGAAAAATTATTACCTTTCAAACCAGTTAAAAATATGTAGGTGGCGCCCTCTACATGTAGCAGTCAAATCAAAATCAAAGTTCTCATGTCAAAAAACTTCCAGACACCAATTTTCATCCAAATATTGACGTTACTTCAGAAATTATTTAGAAAAAACAAAATAAAAATAAAACTTCTACACCCTGTATCTCAGAATCTAAGCATTATAAGACATACATTTATACGATTTTTTTACTTACTTTTATCTGCAGAATATGGTGAAGTTTCCGAAATACAGTTCGGACCACCCTGTATAAAGAATTTATTAGTGGTTTCCAAAACGAAACATGAGACAGATAGCAGTATATTTTTAATAATTCTTTAGTTTCTTTTATTATCAACCATGGCGTATTAATAATTGTGATATTTTAAGGATCCTTTATTAAATCTTATGAGGTAAACCATATCACATCATTTATAAATATACAGGATGTTTCATTTAAGGAAACATAACTTTATTCCATATCTTTAAAAATATACCTTTTGTAGAATAACAGACTACGCTACTGTATTCTACATATAAAGTTCTACAATAAACAGTTTTCACATTCTCGATAGCTTCAACAATAACAGAAATATAGGGAGTGTCCCAAATTGCAAAATATTTAAAAGGACCCTGTAGCTCAGACACGAAGAGGGCTATGAAAATTTTGTTTACAACATCTTCCGTTTGACAAAAAAGTGGGACAGATTTGTGTAAACCGCACTATTCTATCTTCACTAATAACGGACCATATTTTTTTGGTTATGATTTTAATCAAAATGGGACACTCTGTGCATTCATACAAAATACAACAATGTTAAAAAACTTAATGTAGTATAAAAATAAACATAAAAGTTGCTCGATCAATTTAAAAAAAATCATACTTTTATATTTAATAATTCACAAACTAAATTGCAATACGTTTTTATTTGATTAAAATTGAACTAATCGGTGGTCGAGCTGTTCCAATAGAAACGAACTTATGCACAAAACCGTCGAAATATTTTATATAATGGCGGAACAATATTCAATATTGGCAAAATTTACCGATAAACAAATATGCGTGCGTTTTACATTTACGCGAGATTTAAAAATTCGACATGCAAGCGGCAATTCAAAATTTTGCATTATTCAATAATAAATTGCAGTACAATAAAATATTATTTTTCAAAGAAATGAAAACGTTTTTAAATTACTGTAAGTTAATTTTTATAAAACTGTGTATTTTTTTCATTAGAAAATTTGGAATAAAACTTTATTCAAAATAAATGTTGCAGTTTACTTAATTTTATTTATCTATAATCAATCATACAGCTTAAACTTTGAATAAAAAGATTAATGAACAAGAAGTATAGTGCCATCCATGCATACTTGTATTAGAAACGGAATCTATATCACGAACATCCATTTTTGACAGTTATGTTTGACGTTTTAATTGACATGTGTGCTTTGTACAGCTATTAAATGCACCTTTCACAAGAATCCTCCGCGCGGATTATCGTGTGTACTTTTATGGTCTGAGGGAGTAATTTTACATGTGCTGTCAACAGAGTTGGGTAACGACGCGTAGAAAATGAATTTTCTACGTGTATGTAGCAAAGTGCGTAGAAAATGTGGAATATGTAGAATATTAAATCTGAGAACAGGTAAAAAATTAATTTTGTATATTTAAAGCCGTTTTTTTCACTTTAGAGGTTTCTTCGTTTTCTGGGGGGCGTTAAAACTGAGTGCCCGCGTTGTCTCCCTATTCTGTGACGGTACTCATTCTCTGAAGATAAGGGACAGTAATCGATCTAAAGACTATTAGAATATTTTTTTCTATTTAATTTGAAGACCGTACAGAAAAGTCTGTTTATTTTTTCTTTCAAAGTTTTCGTTGTTTCTTTTTGTAATTTTACCATAGAAAGCCTGTGGTTTCATTCTATATACATATAGTAATAATTATTGTAGTTTGTAGTTCTTACTTTCATTAAGTTAGATGTTATTTTTTTGTTTTCTGTTTGAGTCTTATTAAAGTTAACAGAATTACATAGAATTATTCTGCAAACTTTGGTCTTCTATTGAAAACTTTTAAGATATCTCTAAACTTCGACTATAGTGTGTAACAAATCAAAAAAGATTTCGACAGACGACATCCAGAAAATGACAGAAAATGCCTGTGAATTATAATGACACAACAGTCACTGTCACGCTTCCTCCCGTTGTACATATCAATATAAAATAATATGGAAGTTCATAGTTAAACTTTTTTGGCACACTATATACTGTTCATTTGTTAAATAATAAATAACAATTAGAGATATCGTTATTACTTTATTTCTTGTACTAATCGTTGTCATTGAAGTATTTGAAATAAATATATACTCAAACAAAGCTTAGAAAATACAAAACTAATATTCTACGTCTGGACATAAAAAAATGCAGAAAATTAGTTGGTGTAGAAAATATAATATGTTCTACCTACCCAACCCTGGCTGTCAATCTACGTGAAACGACGTTTTTAATCATATATAATCATATAGAGGTCCATCAAAGCAAGCAGTTGGATGGTCGAAATATAATCCGAACGGATTATCCACTTCCATATGAAAATATTCATATAACCTCATGGTACTTGTTTAACCAACGCTCCATGTGAAACAGTACTTAGAGTTTTCATTTTTATCATTATTTGAAGCAGTGAACTTTCTGGAGACTCTGGCCAAGTTAATATACCTGTGGGTTAATATAACTGTAAGTTCCCGAAAGTACACTTGAAGATCTACACTGCCTGGTATCTGAGTGTATTTTGAAAACATTCTTTAGTTTGTTAAGCATTAAAATCTTATTAAAATTTTTCTGATTTCTAAGTTTAGTGTACCTACAAAACATAATTATTACTTTCTGTAAAAGGGGCTTTCATGTAAAATTAGTAAAATGGTGCTTATCATGTTTTTTCCTGGACCCTTCAAATGTAATTAACTGTTTATTATTTTGTTTCAGAGAGGTGGCAGTGTGAGGGGAGAGGATTTGCCTTACATTCTGGGACTTCCCCTCATCGGTGGAGGTCCATTCTTTCCTCACAACTACAGTCACAGTGATATAGTAGTGTCAAAGACTTTAATACAGTACATTAGTAATTTCATAACAAAAGGGTAAGTCAAAATATATTTATTTTTTACTTGTGAAGATTACCGGGACTTCATATGAATATGAAACCAACAATACACCGAATCCTATTGATTTGTTGAATTTAATTGTCTTAATTGAAACATTTGAGGAAATTAATAAAGCTCATTTTTGAAAATTAATCTCAATGAACAAAAAAAAATAAAAATACTGAAAAAAGAAATTTGTATCATGATATTACAAGTTATGATAAAACAGTTCTTGTGGTTTGAACGTCACACCAAGCTACACATTATTAAATACTAAATTGTTTTAAACCACCAGAAATAATATAATATCCAAACAGATCCAAGAGAAATTTTAATTTTAGCAATATTCATACTAAATTTAACTGTTTTAATTAAACCGTTCTAGGAAATTCTCTTTAACCGTGTCCCACTATCTACAATTCTCTTTCACCCAGTCCTTCTTTAACATTGCTGCGTATGTGTACAGGGTGTCCCACTAAGAATAGCTCTCGGCTGTATCTCGGAAAATATTAGTCGTAGGGCTTGCGGAAAAAATATTTAGAATTAAAGAGACTATGAGAAATTGCTGGAAATGATTTTTAAATTTGTAGAACCACCGCTAGAGGGCGTAATAATAGAAAATAAAAAAATTGAATTTTTAAGAAATTTAGCCTAGATACAATGTACTATAAATAATAGCTTCGTAATCTACGGTAAATTTAGAATCTTTTTTGTTAGAACTATTTACCTCTGCTAAAATAAAGTGGTGGGGGAAGGTTAGATCTGTTTTTATTTAAATGTTAATAAATACGGATTAGATGATCGGAATCCAACAAATGAGAGCTCGTTTAAAAGAGCATTTCTTACTCTATATTATACCATATAAACAATAAAAATAAGCTTTTGAAAGCAATAACTTTGAGTTGAAAAAAGATATCAAGATGCGGTTTTTGCTGACTTGTTAAGCTTTTATTACTCTTTACTATCAGCTAAAATTACATATACTATCGCGTTTAATTTAAAAAAAAAACGCGCAATGTTTGTTAAATTGTAAGACAACGCCCCCTAGCGTCTACGTTCAAAAGCTTATTATTATTGTTTATATGGTACAATATAGAGTAAGAAGCTCTCTTTTCAACAAGCCCTCGCTTGTGGGATTCCGATCATCCAGTCCGGAGTTTTAAAAATTTAAATAAAAACAGATCTAACCTCTCCCCACCACTTTATTTTGGCAGATAGGGGAAAATAGTTCTAACAAAAAATATTCAAAATTTACTGAAGATTATGAAGCTATTACTTATAGTACACCTTATCTAGGCAAAATTATGTAAAAACTCCATTTTCTTATTTTTTGTTGCAGTTACGCCCCCTAGCGGTTGTTCTAGAAACTTGAAAATAATTTCTAGCAATTTTTCATAGTCTCTTTAATTATAAATCTTTTTTTCCGCAGGCCCTACGGCTAATACTTTTCGAGATACAGCCGAGAGCTATTCTTAGTGGGAAACCCGGTACAGTAAAAGAACTTAATAAGAAAAAAATTACTAGCAACGACAATTTTGGGACGACCGGTATCCATCGATGCGACTATATTGTTTACTTGCCAAGGATTTAAACAATTTTTGTGCCGGCGTACTTGTTGAAATTGACACGTCGCGTGTGCGCCACACTTGCCGATGTTGTTTACAAAGTGGGGACTGGTGGGGACACTTGCCAAGTACGCAAATATTGGCGTACTTGCCAAGTAGACGAGTCGTGAAAGTGCGCCTAAGAAGTGATTAAAAAAGAAACGTGTCTCATATATTTCTAAGTTATGATATCAAAATTATGATCAATGTCACATCGGGCTACACATTACTAAAACACTAAATTATTTTAATTCTCCAGAACTAATATAATACACAAGCAAATCAGAGGAAAATTTTAATTTAGCAATATTCATACTAAATTTAACTGTCTTAATTAAACCGTCCCAGGAAATTCTCTTCAACCGTGTCCCACTATCTGTAATTCTCTTTCACCCAGTCCTTCTTTACAGTTGCCGCGTATGTGTATATGTCCTATCTCGCTCTGTCTCTGAGTCTATTTTCCGGCGGTATTTCAGCAGACGACTGGGCCTGATATAAATGGTTATTTTGCACAGGACCTGGAAGGATATTAAATAAAAGAAAATCCTTACTGTTTCGAACAATGGCTTTGTCGAGATTATACTTCTTTCTTTGGATTTGAAGATATTTCTTAATATATATTTTTGGTTAGAAAAGGAATGATTTTGACAGACTGGAAAATTGGCGGAAAAGACAATATAATTTTTAATTAAAATGACAGACTACAACTGATGCCGTCATGGTCAGGTTGAAAGATACTGGTTTAAAAAAATCGAATTAAAAAACTGTTTTATATTTTGTTTAAGTCCTATATCATATAATGATACTTACGTGGATAAGTAAAACACTATGGAAACTGTCGCAAACATATCAACGATTTCCATTTATCTTCTTTTTTTGTTGCACACGCAGTGCTTCTACTCTATCTATCCTTGTCGAGGACCTATCGTCCACGCGCCAAATTTAAACATTAATTTTAAAAATTTAATTTGTAAAATGCATATATTTGAACAATAAATTGTTTACTGTCACAAAAATTAAATTATATAAAAAAATCATTAAGCCACTCCGTAAGAATTTCAATATTCTTAGGAAATCTAAACAGAAAGTGTGCACGCGGTTTAATGTAAATAAAAGATCAACTGAATACTTTACTTGCCTATGAAAAAATAATTCGGGAACTATATTAGAACTTCCACACACCAAACACTTTATAGTCATTTTTACGAGTATTTAGAAAGTCCAACGAAAAAAAAAAAGAAATATAATTGCACAAACTTAAAATCAACTTCTCATTGAACACACTTGTATCCTTGGCTATATAAAAGCGGTCCATAAAAGAGTAATTAATACAGTTTTTAAAATAAAAAACGCAAAAACTAGCGTCGTTACACAATGAAAATAAGATCAAAGAATATACCAAGAATAAGATTATGACATATAAGTAAGACAAGATTATCAGAATATAATGACAAAGAAAAGATGGAAATATTACAATTATAGGTTTATAAATAAACGACTAATTAGGAAATTACTTCAAAAAAGAACTTTAAATTCGATTTGCTCAAAACTACGGTTTCTGAATTAATGTAGTTTTTGCTTCTGGGGTACAGATTTGAAAAGTCTACATATAGATTTGACAAAAACCTGTTTATTAATTTGAAAGTATCAAGGTATTAATACAAAAAACTCTTTTACCTCTCAAGAAACAATTTAACATATTTAACAGAGCCACTTAATAAGGTTAAAAAAGCTTGGCAAAAATTAGAAGTGACGGCAATAAGCTTAGTGTATTTAACAAACGAATTCAATTAATTTTAAAGCCATGCGTCTCATAGAACAACGACCTCATCGTTCTTTTTAATCTTTTTCGGTCTGTTTTTTATCCCTCTTGTTTTCTCTATCTTCTTCTGTTCTAATCAATTTCCAAAACCTTAGCCGCTGTTTCCATCAAACCAGTAGCGTCCTATTCACTATGAACAATGGAGATTGTATCTATTAAAGTAATGAAAAGTAAATGTTGAGGTCACCTTTACTTTTTGATGCTAAGGCTAATCTTGACGGGGCCTACTTTGTTTACACGGAATCCGAACCGCGGTCCTCTGCCATGTCATTGTCAATGGTGTTCACCTATCTATTCACCTGTATCGTCTAACGTCGCTTAACTTCGGTGATCTAACGGGAACCTTAAATAACTTAACCTTTTATTTTTAAGTTAACATAGCTGGATGGTAGCCTTTTTAATAGTCAATATATGAAATTTGGTGCTAGATATAATTCTAGTACCAGTTTTGACTCCACCTATCATCAGAGTTGACTATTGGACAGACTAAATCGCAAGTCAAAAAAGCACAAAAACAGCACTCATTTGAAAGAGAATTTAACAAACCTCAAAGAGCTATGACCCTAATATAAGTACCGTATGATCAAAAAGAAAAACGGGGTTTAAGCACTAAAGTTTGATTTTTATGCATCCGTTGTTCAGGTTAGGCGACGATACGATGATACGATATTAATTTTATTGGTTGAGTTTAACGAGTTTTAAGACTTCGATTGGTTAATTTTTTTTAATCAAACACAGTTTTTAAATTTACTGCATTTTCATGCCTCCGTTCATCGGATATACGATTTGCTTGTGATTGATGTTATTTTATATTTTCATTTCCATAACAATTTTGCTGTTTTACTTATAATCTAAGAGCTAGCAATATCTTCGAGAAATAATTTTAAGAAAGCTGTTTTTAATATATCTTTTGCTATGCTCTCCTGAACACAGTGCGGACCGTCTGGCTGCCGGTAGACGTTGCGTTCACTACTGCGCATATCTGTATTTAACATCTGTTCACTACTGCGAATCACAAATTTGCCCTGTATTTCAGGAACCAAGAAGGCTAGGACGAACCTATGTGTAGCATATTTAGTTTCATAAAAAAATAGCAAAGTAATGTGAAAATCGCATCATTGTATCTCTACTCATACACGAAAAATCTCATAAAACACACAAAAAATGGGATACCCTGTACAGATGTGATATGCAATAGTGAACCGTAGTCTACCGGCAGCCCGACGGCCCGCACTTTGGTCAGAGAAGCATAGGAGAGCATAGCAAAAGGTATATTAAAGAACCAGCTTTCTTAAAATTCTCGTTTTCTCGATAGTGCTTGCTCTTGTACTATTATATTTTTATTAAGGTTACATTATAATATAGCTCCCGTATATAGCGTTTAACGTCCTGGGAGTAGCAAGGTACAGCTTGCCATACTAGAGCCGTTCGGCATACAAGAAAGGTAATGTGGCTAGCACTACGCTTCAACCGCCTATTATTACCACAGGATTGTGAATCCAAAGTACTCATTTAAGGCTGAGTCGACCAAACTATTTTTATTTTAATAAAAATAATCGGCTGATGAACTG